GCCCAAGCATTTGAGTTCCTGCCACCTGAGTGGAAGACTCAGATGCAATTCCTAGCTCCTGGCTTTGGATCGGTCCAGCCATTGCAGCCACTGAGGGAGTGAACCAGCAGATGGAAAATCAATCTCTCGCTCCCTCTGTCCTTCTCTCCCTTTCTGCCCCTGTGTGTCACTGTGCCTGTCAAAAAAATAAATAATAAATCCTTTTTAAAAAGATGTTTACTTGGTGCATTTTTTAAATCCATGCAATTTTTTTTTTTTTTTTGACAGGGAGAGTGGACAGTGAGAGAGAGACAGAGAGAAAGGTCTTCTTTTGCTGTTGGTTCACCTTCCAATGGCCGCCGCGGCCGGCGCACAGCGCTGATCCGAAGGCAGGAGCCATGTGCTTCTCCTAGTCTCCCATGGGGTGCAGGGCCCAAGCACTTGGGCCATCCTCCACTGCACTCCCGGGCCACAGCAGAGAGCTGGCCTGGAAGAGGAGCAACCGGGACAGAATCCGGCACCCCGACCAGGACTAGACCCCAGTGTGCCCACGCTGCAGGCTGAGGATTAGCCTACTGAGCCGTGGCACGAGCGGCAATTTTATAATATGCATCTCCCATGAATTTTTGAAGATTCCTCATACACATGGATTTCAAATTTATTCACAGCAAAATAAGTTTGCTGTTCACTGCATTTTCTAAGAATTCTTTAAATTCCCTCATAAGGTTTGGTCTCCAAGATTCCCCAGACTAAGAGTAAGGGGCACGCAAGAAAAGCCAACACGCAGTTCTGTGAACAGCTCCTAGCAAGGAGCAGCGTGCACACTGGGCAAGCGGAAAGCCAGGGCAGCTCGTCCTCACATTCTATATCCCTGCAACCCAACTTCTCAGGCGACAGCAGCAGCAGGGTAGCAGAATGAAGATGAAGCACCACATAAACAGGGATAAGCTGATTCCTTGCTGGTAGGAAACACAGAGTTTCATTTTCAAGACTGCTAAGAGCTTTTGTGATTTTTGACGCGGGTGCTGAACAAGTTAAAGTGGGATTTCTTCTTGAGTAGACAGGAAATTGATTTCACCAACTTCTCATGTTTCCAACACGCGCAGGCTGAGCTTTCTTCATGTAGGAAGATGGAGAAAAGGGCATCAGCCGTGCAGGCTCAGGTTTCCTGTAGGGCACAGTCCTCCGTGGCCGTGGGGATGTGCCCCTCGCCCTCCCCTCCCCCCACCCCGCCCTCAACGGCTCACTATGACCCCTGACGCCTTCCAGGGCACTCACCCTGCAGGAACGCAGTAATTCATGCTTCTCAGCTGCCACAGCAATGCCCTTCACCTCCTCCCTTGCCCCCCACCCAGCTGTCCCCTAAGACTGAGCTCCCTGGGTGTCTAAGACTCCCACTCCCATCCTCACTTTACAGCTAGAAATAGGTGGTGCGTTGGGAAGATAGACAACAGAGCCAGACCAATGTGTTCCCACCAGGCGCTTCTGGGCTGCAGCTCTGAGCCCGGGGTTGGGAGCGGCCTTCTGCGTTCTTGAGCCCAGGACTCTCAGCCAGCATTGAGGACAGATGTGCGCTCTCCGGGGTGAGGGGTGAGGGGTGAGGTGGGGGAGCGGGGCAGGAATTCCTTTGGTGAGCTCAGGGCTTAGTCCAGCTTCTCTGGCGGCATCCTGGGGGGTCTGTCTCTCTGTCCTTTCAAGGGTGGTTAGCCCAATGCGTTTAAGGTGAGTGGCAACTTCCTTGTTTACTAACAGAGCTCAGAGGAAAGGTGGATTTGGATGATAAGAACCAGGGCTCCTGGGGCTAAGCCTCTGTGGGTGCTGGTTAGAGTCCTGGCTGCTGCACTTCCCATCCAGCTCCCTACTAATGGCCTGGGAAAGCAGTAGAAGATGGCCCAAGTCCTTGGGCCCCTGCACCCACATGGGAAGACCTGGAAGAAGCTCCTGGCTCCTGACTTTGGATCCTCCCAGCTCAGGCTGTTGCAGCCATTTGGGGAGTGAACTAACAGATGGAAGACTTTCTCTCTGTCTCTCCCTGTCTGTAATTCTGCCTCTCAAATAAATAAATAAATCTAAAAGAGAGAGAGAGAGAGAGAAGGCAAGTGAGTGAGCCAGGGCTCCAGGTCCTCCCCCGGTGGAGGATCTCTGTCCATGGACTGCTTTGGAGACTGGGTTTAACTATCTGGCAGCAATGGCACACAGAGCTCCCCTCCCTCAAGAGCCCCAGGGTAAGCCCATTGGCAGCACGAGGCCTCAGCAGACCCCGAGAGCGGGGGTCTCTTCAGAGGATCCTCTGTTCCAAGAAGGAATTTGACAGTTTCTTATTTTTTCCTCTGACCCATGAACCCAATATGCATGAGTTGGAAGTTCACAGGCATGAAGCAAGATCAAGGGCAGTGGTCAGCGGAAGGCCGCTGGGTCCTTGTGTTTCCTTCAGAAGAAGGCACCATGGCCACAGCCCCTTCACTCCCACTTCCACTCCTACTCCCACTCCCACTCCCTGGGCTGGTCGGCGGGACAGTGCCTCTTGTTGTCGTAGGACTGCCAAACACTTTCACAGATGTATTTTCATCTCAGTTACTTTCTGGGAAAAATATGAACCTCCCTAGACTGTTGGATGTGACTCAGTTTCCCCGCAAGCCCTTCTCCTGAGCAGGTCCTCCTAGGCCCTGTTGTAAGGATCCCTTGTTGAGTCTGACAAAGTCTGTCTACCCTTGAACCCACAGCCAGGATTCATGCATGTATGTGCATTGCCCTGGGCTGATGATACCCAGGGCTTTCACCACCTTGAAGAGGAGGCGCCTTGGTTAGGGAGGCAGGAGCTACTGCCGGGATGAGCTTTACTCATCCTTTGTAACCCATGACTGTAGATTACCAATCCCAAATCCAAGCAAAGGAATCATCCCAGCCCTTAGAACCCTGGCCCAGCACTGGAGTGTGTGGGCTGGCCATCTCCTTGAGAAAAGAAGCTCCGCAAAAAAGCACATTTTAATAAAAATGGAATGAACATGCCATTACAATTCATTAGTCACACATGGTTAACAGGTATGAACCAAAAGGAAATTAAGACAAATCGTGGAGAGAGACAGGAGGTCTTCTGACTTAAAACAAAAATCAATTCAACAGTGCCGGCCTCCCATGAGCCACAGATTTCCAGAAAATACTTCTCCTTATTTAGGGCTGGGTTTCTTTGTTTCTGAACAGAAGGAGGCTTGCGAAGAGCTGGGATTCCGTTTAAGTCCTGTGCATGCTGGCATTCATGAGAAAGGACTCAAGAATTCCAGAATCCCTTTCAGAGGCCCCCATCCCAGCCTCTCCCTGCTGTCCTGACACAGCCTTTCCTTCCACCTCTTCAGAGGCTGAATGATGACTGGGAAGGACACAGGGGCTGCTGCCCCCAAACCTCATCAAACCAAGAGTCAGTGGCCACTCACCCACTGCAGTCCAGATTCTGCGGCCCAGGGATCAGTTGGGTGGAGACAGCGCCACCTGCTGTCCAGCAGCTGTCTGGCATGGCAGGGTCCTGTGCGCCCAGCAGCCTAATAAGGGCACCGGGTAAAAAAAAAAGTGCCACCAGCTAGCCCAACCCCCAGCCTTCGTAGCATTGCAGCCTATCTCCAGGAACTAATCCAGATTAGAACAGGCTAGGAGAGCAAGGACCACACATCCATGACCTCTGTGCTCCTCTTGGGTGAAGCAGGAGAAATAGCTCGTTTTACTTACGCTAGCAAATACTCCACGAGGAACTGTGATCCCCACACTGACAAGAGAAGCCAAGAAGCAAAGCCACCAGGAGCATCTGGATGGAAGGTCCTGGAGTGAGTTTATTACTTTGTGTGTGCTCTTCTCTCACTGTATCTTTGACAGAGAAAGAGAGAGGAGAGGGCGAGAAAGAGGGAGAGAGAGAGCAAGAGAGAGAGATAATAGAGGATAGATAATAGATAAATAGAAAGATGAAAGATAGATAGATAGATAAATAGATAGATATAGTTAGAACAATGAAACAAAATGCAAATATTATGGATGAACCTTGAGGACATTATGCTACTCGAAATAAACCAGACATGAAGTGACAAGTGCTGCATATTCCACGTAAGAGGGGCCCATCAGATTCATACAGACAGAAAACAGAGTGGCGGTGGCCAGGGGTTAGAACCTCCATTTGACAAGCTCAGTTCTGGAGGTGGACAGTGGTGATGGCTGTGCAGCAACGTGAACATACACGATGCCGCTGAACTGTACGCCTAGCGAGGGTGACCAGGGTGAATTCACGTTCATATAGTCTAGCCAGAACTGAAAAATGTTAAGAAAACCCAGAATGAAATAAAAGAGTGGTTCAGCATTGGGCCAGGGCCTCATGGCAATGACAAACAAATGTGGAAGACTAGGTCTCCTTGGAACCTAAATTCTTAAAAAATAACAGAGTGGGCTCCCCAAACCCAGAGTGCACCCGAAACTCAGCTCCACCTGTGAATGATGGACCCCAGCACACTGGCTTCTGTTTCCCCCCACCCACCCTGCTGCTCCCTGCATACAGTGACCACTGCTCTTCCAACCCAACCCCTGTTCCCACTCCCCCAGGACCTGCCTCCTGCCTGTGGCCTGGCTCCTGTCCAGCCCCTGAAGGTGTCTCTTTAGGAAGGGAGACTCCATAAGCTGTGGGGTCATCACACGAAGCCTGACGGGTTGGAGGAAGCCTGCAATGGGAGTGGATTTTCGGTCTGAAAGAAGCCTTGTGAATCACTGCATCATAAATGAGCTGTGACATCATGGAAATACAAATCAAAACCACAATGAGGGTTCACCTCACCCTAGTTAGATTGGCTCAACAGACAACAAATGCCAGTGAGGATGTGGGGAAAAAGGCACCCTAATCCACTGTTGGTGGGAATGCAAACTGGTGCAGCCACTGTGGAAGACAGTATGGAGATAGCTCTGAAATCTGAGTATAGACCTACCCTATGACCCAGCCGTCCCACTCCTGGGAATTTACCCAAACCAAAATAAATCAGCATATGAAACAGTTATCTGCACCCCATGTTTATTGCAGCTCAATTCACAATAGCTAAGACATGGAATCAACCCAAATGCCCATCAACTGAAGTCTGGATAAAGAAATTATGGGATATGTACACTATGAAATACTAGACAGTGGTAAAAAAAAAAATGGAATTCTGCTGTTTGCAACAAAATGGATGAAACTGGAAAACATGATACTTAGTGAAATAAGCCAGTCCCAAAAGGACAAATACCATATGTTCTCCTGATCTGTGATAACTAATAGGGCACTTAAAAGGCAATCTATAGAAGTGAAAGTCACACTTTGAGATGCAATGACTTTGAACAGCCCTTGTCTCTACTGTTAAGGAACAGTTTTTTTCATACTATGTGTTAAACTCTTTGCTTAGTATAGAGTTAATCTTATGTATATAAAGTTAAGTGAAAATAGAACTTAGTAAAAAATAGGAATGGAAATAGGAAATGGAGGAGGAACAAGTGTGGGAGTGCAAGTGGGACAGGGTATGGTGAGAAGAATCACTGTGCTCCTAAAGTTGTATTTATGAAATGCATTAAGTTTGTATTCCTTAAATAAAGAATTCCTAGAAAAAAATAAGTGAGGCGGGGGGGAGGGGCTTGGAGGCCAGTGGAAAGTGTGCACTGCTTTCCTTGGAGCAGAGTCACATCCGCCCGGTGAGAACTCACAACTTTCACCTGCTGCTCAGACTGCGTTTAGCTGTCTAAAAGCTAGAGGAGAAAAATGTGTACTTATTTAGGTTGGACAGATACAGTCTTTCAAAGTCTGGGGTCCATTGGGAGGGCGACTGTATCAGCTCTTTCTCATGACAATGAAACAGCTAAGACAGTTAGTTAAGAAAGAAGGTTTAGTTTAGCTTACTGGTTCTGCCTCTGGGGTGAACATGGATCTCTCCTTAGCAACCTCCTGATTTATACCCTAACAATCTTATGCAACCTAATCACTCCCCAAAGGCCACCTTTCAACCTCATGACTGGCTTGGGTCTCTACCCTCTTAGTACCATTAACCTAAGACTCTGCAGAGCAAGCCTAATATAAAGACCTTCACAGAACATCCAAACTCATAGCCAAACTACAGCCATGACCAAGGCCAAGACACCACAGTGGTTACAGCCTACCTGCACTGGATGAGTGAGTGGGATTCATATTCCCCAGTGTGACTGGAGCCCTAACAGACACCGGGCAAGCCTGGACAAAGTCTCTTTCTGCCTTCCTGTCACCCCCAGGCTGCCCAGGCTCTCATCTAAGTCCCTGCAGGTGCCATATTAAAAGCTAAACTTCTTGCTGTCTGAATGCTAGCTCTACCCTACTCTGCACCCCAGGAGCCACAATGCCATCCACACCCTGTGCTCAGAGAGTGTTCACGAGCGTCTGGGAGTTGTGAAGTGGCGAAATCTCTCTCTAAAGAGGCAGCTCCGATCAAAACAAACGGGAAAGACAAGCCATCATCCAGGTGCAGAACCAACTGCAAGGTTCAAAGTCAGCCAGCGCTAATGAAATGCATCCTGACCCAGCTAGGAGCTGTCCCTGGATGACAAGCTCTCCATCAGTGGGTGATGAGCCCCATGCTGGTCTCCCACCTGCCTGGTGCACAGTCGCAAGGTGTGTACTTCAGCGGCTGGACAGGGGGAGATGGGGGTACCTTTTGGATGGCATATGATACCTCACTTTCTTCCAAAACTTGGCCGTGGCTGCCTGTGACTGCTCCGCGAAGCCCCCACTCCACTGGATGGCCCCATGCTTCTGTTTGATGTACTGAATTGACTCCGGCATGGCAGCGTAGTCCTCGATTTTCTCCAGCTCAATGAGAATGACCTTCATCCCATCCTGGATCAGGGCATTGTAGACTGCGATCTGCTCTTCCGACATGTTCTTTAACATGCTAAAGCTCGGAGACTCAGGGACCACAATCACCATCAGCCTCCTGCACAGTTTGATGTTTTCATCAATGACACTGGCCACGGCTGGAAAGAGAGAAGGAAGACCAGGAAATCACAAGGTCGAAACAGCCCAGGTGGTAATGCTACCGAAAATACTAGAAATTGGCACTGAGAAGTGAAAACAGGTGTGAAAATAAACATGACTTAATAAAAAGGAACTAACAAAAGTTTCTAAACATGTATCACCTCTTCTAGGAAGCCTTCCTGAGTTTCCTTGAAGAATTGTTCCTCCAGTCATAAATCACTTGTCTTCCTGGTAGGTAAAGTTTCCCAGCCCACAGTAACTCATCCTGTGTAACTTTGTATCCCCAGATGAGCTGAAGGTCTGGTACATACAAGCATATTTCAAAAGGTACATGGAAGCGTGGAATTTAAAGGTAGATTTATTTTAGTGCAAATGACTTTTGAAATACATAATTTTGGGGTCGGCACTGTGGCATAGCAGATAAAGCTTCAGCATGCAGTGCCAGCATCCCATATTGGCACCAGTTCAAGACTCGGCTGTTCCACTTCCAATACAGCTGTCTGCTATGGCTTGGGAAAGCAGTAGAAGATGGACCAGGACCTTGGGCCTCTACAGCCTTATGGGAAGATCTGGAGGACGCTCCTGGCTCCTGGCTTGGGATCGAAGCAGCTCCGGCCATTGCAGCCAACTGGGGAGTGAACCATCAGAAGGAAGACCTCTCTCTCTCTCCCTTTCCTTCTCTCTCTGTGTAACTCTGACTTTCAAATAAATAAATAAATCTTTTAAAAATCCATAATTTTTCATAACACTCATTTTCCATGAACTTGCTGAAGGGCCTCCATATTCCATGATGAACACATTTTCAAAAGAAGTAGATTTTAAAACAGAAAATGCATCTAGCTCAAGTGCTATGTTGATCTATTTATTGGCCTTTTCCTTGTAGTATTCAGATTGTTAAATATCTAGGATTTATATGACTAAGTTAGAAATCATAATATATACAGAGGCCTCCTTGGGCAGGGCAGGGAAAATTCTTGAAACACCCGGCTCTGCAGATGCTTGCAACCTGCAGTTATGCCTCGTGGGGTGCAAAACTGGACTTTAACTCCCCAGGAAGGGGCTCAGCTTCTGTTAAGCTGCTTCTTCTATTTCTAGTGCCCAGAATACTACCCAGCACATAGAAGTACTCAGAAAGTACTCCATTCTAGGCCCTTCTTGAGTTTTCTCATTTGGTGCTGAGTCAAGGAGGCATCCTTGTCCCTGTTTGACGGGTGAGACAACTGAGGTTCAGAGACGTTCACTGGGTTGCTCAGAGCTGAACTCCTATTAAATAGGAGAAGGAAGGGGTTGGTGCTGGGCTAATCCTCTGCCTGTGGCACCAGCGTCCCATACAGGCACCTGTTCTAGTCCCAGCTGCTCCTCTTCTGATCCAGCTCTCTGCTATGGCCTGGGAAAGCAGTGGATTATAGCCCAAGTCCTTGGGCCCCTGCACGCACATGGGAGACTCGGAAGAAGCTCCTGGCTCCTGGCTTCGGATTGGTGCAGCTCCAGCCATTGTGGCTATTTGGGGAGTGAACCAGCAGATGGAAGACCTTTCTCTCTGGCTCTCTCTCTCTCTTTCTCTCTCTCTCTCTCTCTCTCTCTGTCTATAACTCTACCTCTCAAATAAATAAATAAATACATAAATAAATATTTTGAGGATGGGGCTGGCCATGCCAGGAGGCTCTGGGACCAGATATTCTGTGGTTTCACAAGGGAAGGCAAGCAGAGGTGTCGCCATTTATAAAGTGAAGAGAGAAAGAACACCCTTCCTTTTCCCATCTGTTTCTATACCTCACTTGAAACATACCTTGTCCAGGGAATTCATCTCTGCCAAATATAAATAACTTATATCCACACTGTCTCTCCAGCACTTCCGGCAGGATCTTCCACACCAAGGTGTCCACGTCATGGCTCTGGCTGTCTCTCTGTGGCTTGGGGTACAAGATGTAGGCATCATACAACTTCCCATCTGAAATGGAAATGGGACAGGCTCAGAGGGTCATGTCCATCAGATGCTCTCTCGCGGACAAAGTGGAAAGCCCAGTTGCTCCCATGATGTCCTTTGAGCTTGGGGGTCAATGACTTGGGAGCCCCCAGCAGGCTGACTTGGGGCCAGGCACTGCCATGATGTGACATCTCATTCTCACCAACTACCCTATGAGGGAGATGGTCTCAGATGGTCTCATCCTTACTACACCAGAATAAAGCTGAGCCTGAAAACACTACATCATCTGCAATTCCTTTTTCCACCCCAAAGTCTTTTGTTCTAAGCCCACCCCTCCCCTGCGATGGTGCTGAGAAAGAAGAATTAAGAGCAGAAGGCTTCATTAATGGAATACTGAACAAGTCCTGGGCCATGCAGACCTGTCCTAACTGCACCAGGCAAAAGGATTCCAATGCATCCCAATTTAGATCTGCCCATGAGCTGTCACTGCAGTTCTGCCGACTGGCCAGAGCCGAGGATCTGGTATCCCTGTGTGGATCTGAGAAGCCCAATAGCACATGCCCTCATCATCAGGATGAGCTGGTGCTTATGGAGCACCCACAAGAAGAGGCCCTGTGCTCATTGGTGCAAAGATGAACAGGGCATATGACTGAACTGGGCAGACAGTTCATATACACAGAAATCAAGCAACCCAAGGCACTACACAATGACAATACTGAAGAAATAGAAGAGACGGAGAGGAAGGAAAATTCTCCATCATCTGGAGATTATCAAAACCATACATAAACAAAGGACGTGAGCAGCTCCTGGATTGTAAAGGGTGAGGAAGGTTTAGCAGAAAATGGGAATCCAAGAGTGGGGGGTGAAGAGGCAGGAAGGAGAATAGCTCATGATGAACATGGAAGGGAGAAGAGTTATGCCTACTCAGGAGCCCTACACATGAACAACGAGCCTCAGAGTGGGAGTGGGAGCACAGGAAGTGATGCCCAGTTGTGGGCACCTCCTTACACAATGGGATTACGAGCTTTGGGCTCTTCGGAAGCCAACCTAATGGGTACTACTCCTTTTATGTGAGAGTTTGGGGAGCAGACTTGCAGAAAGGAGTGGTTCTAAGAGCAACAAGGCAAGGCAAAAACCTGCAGTCTACTAGTTTTTGCCTAATTGCCATGAAGTGTTCCCAGGACTTTAGCGTTTACACGTTGCCTTTCTTGTTCCATCAATTCTCACACCAACCACCGATGATCTCCGGATCTCTGCTTGCCATTCTTAGCCATCATGTAGACAATAATGCGCGCACACACACACACACATACACCCTGGTCTGCACACACATACATGCACACTTGAGCACACCCATATATGCATGCATGCCTTGCACACATATGTATGCAGTGCAACCACACATGTGCACACACAGGAAGTCATACATGTGCGTGCATATGCAACGTGAACACATGTACACTCTGCCTCCCTGTCCCATTCTGTATAACAGTGGAACTTTGTGTGACTCCCTCAGCTCTACCCTCAGAACTTAGAGGAGGAGCTGGTATGAAAGAATCTCAATCCATGCTTGCCAGATAGCTAAAGGGAGTCTGACTGTACTTTTTAAAATTTTTTTATAAACAATTCATCTATTTAAGAGCAGAGAGACACAGAAGAGTGGGAAAAAAGCTCTTATTTGTTGGTTCACCTCCCAAACGCCTGCAGCAGCCCCCAGCAGAGGCCAACATGGGGAGCCAGGAACTCAATCCAGGTCTCCCAGGTGGATGTCAAACCGCAGTAACTCCAGCCATCACTGCTGCCTCCCGGGTCTGCATTAGCGGGAAGCTGGAGTGAGCAATCAGACCCAGGAGTCAAACCTAGGAACTCTGATTTGGAATGTGGGTGTCTCTGGTGGAATCTTAACAGCCAGGCCAAGTGCCTACTCCTAAAGAAAGATTTTAGAGGGGCTCAAAGATGTTGTATCTATGGGAACATGGAGACTGTAGATCAAAGGCAGATCCAGCTTTTGACTCAAGTGGGATCTTGGGGCATGTGTTAAAGGGATGATTCACTTCCATTTAGAACTGGCCAAAACTTAACACAGCTAAAACTCCTTGTGGAATGTTAAAATCTTAAAGGTCACTTGTCTGGACCACCGTTCAACAAGTGGATATATTTCAGCATAAAATTTGATGTCATGAGCCAGTGCTGTGGCATAGTAGGTAAAGCTACCGCCACCTGCAGTGCCGGCATCCCATATGGACACTGATTCGAGTTCCAGCTGCTCCACTTCCTATCCAGCTCTCTGCTGTGGCCTGGGAAAGCAGTGGAAGATGGCCCAAGTCCTTGGACCCCAGCACCCACATGGGAAGACCTAGAGGAAGCTCCTGGCTCCTGGCTTCAGATCAGCACAGCTCCAGCCATTGCAGCCAATTGGGGAGTGAACCAGTGGATGGAAGACCTCTCTCTCTCTCTCTGCCTCTCCTTCTTTCTCTGTGTAACAGACTTTCAAATAAATAAGTAAATCTTTAAAAAAAAATGATGTCACACATTTGGCATTCTAAAGCTAGAAGGAAAATGTCATTGAGTTCCTGTGTCTCTAAACATCTTAGGCAGGAAGGAAGGTCCCCCGGTTGAACAGCTGGTGATAGTTGTCCTTTTGCCTCTGTGGAAGGGTAGGCAGAGCAGGTGTTCCCTTTGCCACAGAGAGTAGCCACATCCAGAAGATGTGGTACTTTCTGGTTGCTAAGCAATAGCCAACATCCTGAGTTATCACCACCTTTGTCCCAGGCCCTGCCACAGATCTCTCTCTTCTCTGAATCAGGTTCCTTTCCATTCCCACTGCCACTGATGAGAACACAAACCAAGCCCTTCTGCTAAGTGTGCTGTTTCCCTAATGGTCCATTCCTCCTAAGAAGGCATCTGAGGCTACAAGTTCTCCCTGCTGTCCAAACTCAGGGACACACAGGATTTGAGCTGACAGAATTCTCACACCTGTCTGAAATTCAAAAATATAAGAATGCCCCCTATACTTTGGTGGGTTTGTTTTTTTTCTAAGCTATCAAAGAAGGATGATCTGTTCTCAAAAGACAGTAAGACAGTGGATTTTCATCACCTTCTAACGATCAATTCATAATGTATTGACCAATACACCCAAAAGGTAAAAGGCAGGCATGTTGTTTTTAGCTTCAGCCCACTCATGTGCAAGGGCCCCCATCAGGCAGCTGCATCTCGCACTTCCTGACTTAACCATGAAGGATGTGGTTGTGATCTCCGGGTACAGGCAAGGAAGCTGATACCACGAGGCTGCATGATCTCTCCCAAGGCTCCCTGGGAGATGCACAGCCTTGACCTAAACAGGTCCTCCGTTCCCTCTGCTGTAGCCAAGATGAGAATGAGAAGCAGGAAGCTCCACAGAGCTCAGTCTTGATTCATCCTGGACAGCTGGGTTCAGAGTAAATTTTCCAAATACAGCCCCCGCAGCATTTCTAGTCCCACACGTTCTATCTTAACCATGCCACACAAAGAGGCAGAATCCATTCCCACTCCTTTAAGATCAGATTGGACTTGGTAGCTGCCTCAGTGAACAGAATGGGTAGGCATTAATGTCAGAATTTCAGGGGCTAAGTCACAGAAGCAAACATGGTGCTGGCCTGGCTCTCTTGCCCTAGATGAGGACACCTGGAGTGGGTCACACAGAAAGACACCTTGGAGAGTTGACACCAAAGTCAACTTCTGTCATTCGACTGAACATCATGGAGCTGAGACATGTGTCTCCCGCTGTCCACACCCCTGGCCCACAGAACCCGTGAACAAAATAAGCAGGTGTTCTCTGATTGGCTTCCCAGACATGACTACTAGAACAGCAACTAAGGAGACAACAGCAAGCAGCAGCAAAGCTGCTTTTCACCAAGAAAATTCTAGAAACACAGACCACCAGTGCATACCCTGTGGAAGCTGGGCCCCACTGGCAGACCCAAACAGCCCACCTTTCTGTTATGGTGAGGGGACCATTCATCCAGGTCCTGACCACTCTCCTGTGATTTTTCTGACAGTCATCCATACTCCCAAGTTAGCATATCTACATATGCCCTGATTGGCTGCAGGCAAAAAAAAAAAAAAAAAAAAACAGGCAAAAGTCTATTTGCATAAATTATGAAAGACTCAACATTATTCAATTCTCTCGCTCAATGATATTGTGACATTTTCGGATTGCAAACCCAAAGCAGTGAGAAACTGAGACAGACTCAGGTTGGCCTTCATGTAAATACTTGTACTGAATGACTTGTGGTTCCATGTTTTAAGTCCCAGCTTGCATAGAACACACAAGAGAACAAAATTACATGACATGTGCTATTACCTTAAAAAATGCTCAAGACTTATTATGCCATCTACTCTCAGATTATTATTATCATCATCATCATCATCATCATTTAAGATCTATTTATTTACTTATTTGAGTCAAAGTTACAGACAGGGAGAAACAAAGAGAGAGATCTGCTGACTCTCTAAATGGCCACAATGGCCAGGGCTGAGCCAAGCTGAAGCCAGGAACCAGGAGCTTCATCTGGGTCTCCCACATGGATGCTGGGGGCCCAAGCACTTGGGCCATCTTCCCCTGCTTTCCCAGACATGTTAGTAGGGAGCTGGATGGTAAGTGGAGCACCAGGACTTGAACTGACACCCACATGGGACTCTGGCATCACAGATGGCAGCTAAAGCTGCTACACCCCATGCCAGCTCCTTGTTTTGTTTTCAATGGTTCTGCTGGACTTGTGCATTCTCCCCAAATCTCTTTAGAAGGGGGTGAGGCATATGCAGATCTCTGCAGGAGAGGTGTGCACAAAGCCTTTCATTCCCTTGTACACCTAGCAGAGGAATCCACAAGGCCCTATGGATTGGAAGAGAATGTGCAACTCTCACTGACTTTACTCAGGCCTGGGAGTGTCTCTTACTAAAACTGAGTTACATGCCACTAACTATTAATGATGCAATGACGCCCGACTAATCCAGTTGGGGTAAATGAGTTCTAACCCAAGAAGGACGCGTTTCCTCTCTCTTGCTCATTCATCTTCCCCATCCAGGACTTAGTGTGCTCCCAGATAACTCAGAAGACAGCCCCCAGGGGAACAAAGCTGAAGCCAGCATCTGGGGTTAATCTCAGGGGGGAGTTGTCAAGGCTGCTCTTGTGGATTGAGCTGTCCTGGATCACAAGGCTCACACATACTTTCCCCAATTCTGATAAAAGTGGTCAGTTGGCTCCCTGTGGTGAGCTCTGAGCACTGAACCCTCAGCCCTGGAGCTGATGCGTATCTGAGCTGCAGAGGGTGGGGCTCAGCTGCCTGGCTCCCCTGATTCAGCCTGAATCACTATTCCTTTTTTCTCTTCCTCAGGAAGGGGCAGCTTCTCCACCCACTCTGCATGCACCGCACCACCAGCCTCACACTCCAGGGAGTCCTGCCTGGTGAGTCACGGCAAGGGGGAAAACAGAGCTTCCAGAAAGACCAGACATAGCCACACTGGCCCCATCAGGCACAGCTCAGAAAGCAGCTGCACCTTTCACTTGTGGCTCAGAAAAAACATCCATGGTGGCAGGCTGACTTCTATTCTCAGAGGCGGGCAGGTGCACAGACAGGGGTGGGCTGAGACAGGGCAGCCTCTGCGGAGACAGCATCCCTGCTGAGAACCGCCACGTCTCATCCCTGCACAGCGCCTCAGCTGCTGTGGGACCTGCTGCTGGGGCTGACTTGCCTTCTGACATTTCACTTAGGGAAATGTTCAACCAAAAGCATCTACTCAGATCTTGTGTCCAACTTAGGGACAACAGCTTGCACTTGCATTTTCTTAATATGCAAAGCAGATGCTTTATGTAAACGAGGCTCCTCTTACTAGCTCCTTTTCAAATCTGCGTGGGCGCCCAGCTCCCTGCCACCCCCACTTTCCTGCTCCTGTCAGCACTGTGAGTCTCTGGATTTGCAGGGGATTTGTTCTTTTCCATAGTTGAGAAATAGAAGAAAATCTAATATCTTCCTATGTTCACTCAGGGGGTAAGTGTAGAACTCAAATTCGAACTCAGTTCTGTCTCCACAGTACTTGGACCAAGTACCGGGCCTAGAAAGAGCCGCACCTGCAGGCAGCTCCTTGGTCTGCCAACATCACTCTACTCCCTCAGGCACAGAGAACACTTTGCTCCTGGAGGAATTTTCCTCTTTATCAAACACTGATGGGTGTGAGAGCCTTCCTCCCCTGGTTGCAGTGGGACCAGGGTATGATCTGCACCTGCTGCGTGGGTAACACTGACTCTGGCAGTCCTGGCCTGCAGCACTACTTGGCAAATGATGCCAATGACATGGACAAATCACTTATCTGAAGCCTAGGAGGTGCCAAGGGATTCATTCCTCTAAATATGCGGACATGGTAGATGCTTGGGGAGCGAACCAGCTAGTGGGAGAGCTCTCTCTCTCTCAGTCTCTCTCTTTCTATCTCACAAATAAACAAGCAATAGGTACACAGCTAAGCAGTACCAAGTTTGAGGCACTTCCCAGTGATCACACACACTTACCTTCAGTGGTCCCATTAGGATGGAAGGTACTCCTGTACCAAAGTACAATGTCAATCTTAAAAACGTTGTAGACACCCACGAGGGACAACATCACCACTGTCAAGGCTGTAAGCCCCCCTATCAAGTAAGCCTGAAAATCTGGAGCTAGAAGTGAAAGCAGAAACAATAATAATAAAATAACAACAATAAGAATACAAAGTCAGCTGACATTATAAATGGCAAATGAAAATGTAGTAGATGCCAATGAGGACACTACTTAAATATTTCTTTTAAATTAAATAGTACAAGGGTATTTCAAAGGGGTTGTGGAAAATGGAATTAAAAGATAAATTTATTTTGGTGCAAAAAGAAATTGAAATCCATGTATATGGAGGCTTTTCAAAAAGTTCATGATAAAGCAAATTACAAGAAAATTATTCATGGGTTTCAATTTTTTACAACAAAATAAACATCTTTTTTAAAAAAACTGTTATTTATTTGAGAGGCAGAGAGAATGAGAGACAGACAGGCAAAACTCCTATCCACTGGTTCACTACCTAAAATGTCTACAACAGCCAATGTCTGGCCAGGCTGAAGCTGGGAGCCAAAAACCACATCCAGGTTCCTGATGTGAGTGGCAGGGACCTAATTACTTGAGCCATTACCTGCTGCCTAGCAGGGTGGGCATTAGCAGGAAGCCGGAATAGGGGGCAAAGCAGAGACTCAAACCCAGGCACCCCACCCATATGGAACACAAGCAAGAATCCCAACTGGGGCTTAACTGCTATGTCAAATAACTCACGCCAAAGAAAATCTCTTTAAAAAAAATTCCATAGTTCCATGGGGTTTTTGGAAGTCCTCCCATAGGTATAGGAGCAGGCTAAACTGATCTGGATGAGAAATTTTAGGAAAGAAATTTGAGGAACCTAGGAGAGGTCAGTTTGTGGCGGTCAGTGGAGTGGTTCCGGCTGTCAAAGCACGCACAGCCAAATTCCCCTCTGTCACCTCTGGACCCTCGAGCTGGAGCTCCAAGATGCTCATTCAGAGTATCCCCTGGGTGGTTTCACTGCACCTTCTTAATTTCAGCCCTGTTCTAACTCCTTCCCCAGCTATTCAAAACTGAGCAGAGAGGGCAGGTGTTTGGACAGCCTCATCTCATACCAGAGTACCTGAGTTTGATACCCAGCCCTAGTGTCTTGCCAATGCAGACCCTGGAGGCAGTGGATATGGCTCAAGTAATGGGGTTGCTGCCACCCATGTTAAAAACCAGGATTGAGTTTCTGGCTTCTGAATTCAGACATCTGGAAAGTAAACCAGAAAATGGGATTTCTCTCTCTCTCTCTTTTTCCCTCTCTCTCTCTTTCCCTCCCCCCCCACCTCCTCCCATATAATCAAATAAAAGATGTCCTTCCTTTTACTAGATGAAAACACACACACACACACAGAGAGAGAGAGAGAGAGAGAGTTTCAGGACTCCTGTCACAAATAATGAGCCATGCTTTGTCTCCGCTGGTCCCACCAGCCTGGCCCAGAGCTAAATCTCCATCTGAAACTCTCCAGGCTGCAGAGTCAGGCTGGGCACATCATCTTGAAAAGGGTGTTTTCTGCCCGTGCCACTTCAAGAGCAATCCCGAGCACAAAGTGTAGGCAGGACACTAGCCAAAAGCAGAACCAGTTCCTCTGCGAGGCCAAATCCACGTCCACAGAACCTCTGCTTCTCTTCTTGGAGAAGAGGAAGAGCACAGCTTTCTGTCTGCCCACAGCCCAACCTGCGCCACCAAAGCTGGAGTCTCTAGGAAGGCAGGAAGCCACAGGAGGAAGAGGGCAAGAGGAAGAGAAGCCTTCCCTGAGCCTAGAACCCATCTCGGCCCCACTTCCCTCACCGGCCCCTTCCTCATCCTCCATCCTCACTAGACGGTGGGGGAAGGGAGCAGGGGAGGAAAAGAGGTTCTTCTTTCTGAACCCCTAGAACACCTCCATTGTTCAAGTACTCATTAAAGGGCTTACCACAACCTACCCCAAGCTGTAACTCTCTTGGGGCCCAAGATGTCCCTGTTTATTTTTAAGTACCTGGCAAAATACAATGCAATAGCTAAAAACACATTTGGTGCCAAATAAAGGCAGGGTGGGAGGGGGGGATCCGTTGGTTACGTCCCAGTACAGCCAGGTGGAACTGCTCCAAACACAGGGGCCCAAGCCTATGCTGAGAACTTCTGGCTTCTCACTAAGAGGCGGAGGCTCCCTTCTCTCCCACGCTGGTCATCTCTGTGCCTATGCCCCTTTGGAGCAACAATACCCCCTCTCACAGGAAAAGCCATATTGGGCATGACGGAATGTGTATCTTAGAGATCTGATAAGAAGACCATGCCCGTGATACTTAAGCGATTGAAAAAGCTCTGGAGGACAGATAGGTACAATGACCTGAGATCCTGGAGTTCAGCACACAATGCATTCAGGAGTGTTGGATGATGCCATTGGGGGCAGGACGATAGATCCAAAAAAAAAAAAAAAAAAATGTTTTCTCCCATTTGTGGTAGTTAACACAGAAAAGGAGGGTATAAAAATGGTTTAGATGTCGTATCATTCGGTATATGGGTTTTTTGTTTGTTTGTTTGTTTGTTTGACAGGCAGAGTGGAGAGTGAGAGAGAGAGAGACAGAGAGAAAGGTCTTCCTTTGCCGTTGGTTCACCCTCCAATGGCCACCACGGCCGGTGTGCTGGGGCTGGCGCACTGTGCTGATGAAGGCAGGAGCCAGGTGCTTCTCCTGGTCTCCCAAGGGGTGCAGGGCCCAAACACTTGGGCTATCCTCCACTGCACTCCCAGGCCACAGCAGAGAGCTGGCCTGGAAGAGGGGCAACCGGGACAGAATCCAGCGCCCTGACCAGGACTAGAACCCGGTGTGCCGGCACCACAGGCGGAGGATTAGCCTAGTGAGCCACAGCGCTGGCCCAGTATATGGTTCTAAATAGTGCTTCACTGAATTATACCACGTAAATGACAATGTACGCTTCTTTCATGTGTCAAAACAGAAAGAAAGAAACAGATAAGAGGGAAACCGTGCAGACTCTGGGTCCTAGTAATGCTTTGTTCTGAATTTGGGTCTTGTTCTGAATTTGGGATGGCCAGAAAAATTCATTTATCTGTACACTGTATGTGAATTTCTTGGTATATTGTATTTCATTACAATATTTGTTGAAGTTTTTTTTAAGTTTAGATTTTAAAAAATGAGTACGTTCCAAGGGAACAGGGCACTGACACAGAAATAAGTGGGAACTCAGTGCTGCTCCCCAGATGCCGCGTGAGCACCTGCTTGGTTCACATGCCTACCACCAGTCTTCAGCCACGGTGTCAGGTGCAAGGACGTGATTAAGGAAAAATCATGAAGGGTGCATTCGAGCTCATGCACTTTCTAGTGATCCCGCTTCAGACGGGTCTACTAAGGTTCAAATGAGGAAGTGTCTTCAACAAAAATAAGGAAGTCAAATGCAGAAGCTGTGACCTTAGCTCTTCCCAACAAGAGGCTTGGGATCACTGGGTGGCTTCAGTTGAGGTTCCAAAAAAAAAAAAAAAAAAAAATGAGACATGTGGGTTAAGGCAGATTTAAGCTGTGGCCATCCTAGTGTCATAGAATCTCTAAGGCTTCCCACAACCAGTTTCCCTTCTTTCCCCTTGCAGGGATTTCAAGTTCTCCATCAGATCTAAGCTAGTCTGGACTTTTGGAAGGAGCTCTTGGGGAACAGGAGGGGATAAAATGCCAGCAGTTTCTGTCCTGCTCAGTAGATAAAAAAAGATCCCATCTTCACCAGCCTAACACTAGCCTCAAGGTCAATTCCTTCATCCCCACAGGAGGTCCCCAGATGATCTGCCCACGTCTTTTCTGTGGGGAAGATGAAGGCTATAACTAGTAAGTGGGAACAGTCAGATGGAGGAGGCTCTCAATGCCAAGCCAGGAGATTTTATTCCATCCCAGAGGGGTTGTGGAGTGGGGAGGGGGTAAGGGGAGGTGTGGGCACTGAAGTCCAGAGACTGGAGGGGCAAAGCTACAGCCAACCTGGGATGTGGTAACTCCACAGCTGTCGCTAGAATAGACTGGGCCAGAAGCAATACCTCAAGGCAAGGAAACTGGAAAACGAACACACTCACCCAAACAGCACTTCATAAGGGCCAGAACCAGGCAGGAATAAACATAAATTTTGAGAACTCACAAAATGTGAAGCTGTATGCTTACTTTGCAAAATTACATCTTTTGATTCTCTCACACACTACTACCCCTAGCAGTACCTATCGGCAAATCACATGGGGGAATAAGATGACATTCTGCTGAAATGTTCCCGGCAGTCTGTCATCTGGCAATTCTCCTCCCAGTGACACACCACAGAGGAATGCTCCCACTGGGCACTGGACACACACAGCAGGATGGCCGCACACTGAAGCAGAGTGGGTAAATTGTGACCTAGTTGTTCCATGATACAGGATTCAGCTATGCAAATGAATGAACTGTAACTACTTGCTACATCATCACACCCACGAACCCCAAACACCTAAGAAAACACAAGACATGCAGGAACACAGACTATCTAATTCTCTCTATATAAAGGTCAAAAACAGGAAAAACTGAACTATTTTTAGAGACAGTAACACAGATAGAAAAACAAAGAAATGACTTTTCTAAAAGTTGGGGTGTGATTATTTAGAGAGAGAAGAGGTCTTTTGGCCAGGCAGGATACATGGGGGCTTTTTAGGTCTAGAAAACCATTTCTGATAGCACTGTAGCTAGATGCATGCACACAAGAATTTCGTTGACATTGCAAGGTATTAGCAAAGTCAAGGGAAATTAAAGGACACCAGCAAATTCAAGCCCCCATCTTGCATAGAGCTGGACACACACACACACACACACACACACACACACACGAGTTACTAATCAAATCAAGGGAACAGAGTGGTTTGGTAAATCAAACAGCATTTTCAAGCTGTTTCGTTCACTTCCCCCGCTGCGTTATGAATTTAAAGCTGCTCTCAGGGCTCTGATTTCCCTCTCCACTCTCCAGCTTTGTAACCTCTGACACATAATCCCTAAGCCCTGTGCCCTGTTGGGTGTGCAGGCTATGTACACGCTTGGAATTGGAAGCTCTCCTGCTCAAAATTCACAGTCCAGACTCTATAGGCAAATTGACAAAGTAACGGGGTGAAAACCCACCTAAATATTCTTATTTGAATAAAACATTTATAATAAATTATTTAAAAACTGAAAATCACAAGCAAATGGCTAATAGAAGTTGAACAATGCAGCTGAATAAAAGAAAACTTCAACTTCCTGGAATTTTGTTGTATAAAATCCTGGTGTCTGTTAATATGGCATTTTTTTTGACAGGCAAAGTGGACAGTGAGAAAGACAGAGAGAAAGGTCTTCCTTTGCTGTTGGTTCACCCTCCAATGGCCGCCGCGGCACACTGCGCTGATCCGATGGCAGAAGCCAGGTACTTATCCTGGTCTCCCATGGGGTGCAGGGCCCAAGCACTTGGGCCATCCTCCACTGCACTCCCTGGCCACAGCAAAGAGCAGGACTGGAAGAGGGGCAACCGGGACAGAATCCGGTGCCCCGACCGGGACTAGAACCTGGTGTGCCAGCGCCACAAGGCGGAGGATTAGCCTAGTGAGCCGCGGCGCCGGCCAATATGGCATTTTCAAAGATAGTATAATAAAAATTACAGCCTCACTACAAGAACATCATCATTCACTGCATTGGCTTTTCCCTAAATTCCCCCAAATCTGCTTTCTCTATTTAATACCACCATTAATATTAATAATGCTAAATGCAACAGCATGTCACTTCTATAATATCGCATTTCCTTGGTATGCATTGTCCAGCTATCATTTTGGGCACTCTGAACAGTGAGGAACATACTGGAATGTTACCTGGCAGTGTTAATATAATGTATGCTGCGGATACTCCAGCATGACATACAAAGGGAAGGCCGTAGTCTTCCATTTTCACTTCCAAAAAAGTAATGTTCACCGTGTAAAACGTATGATCCTGAAAAGAAACAGGGACTCTATGAAAGAAAAGAGCCAATCATTAATAGGGAAGTCATGTTCACGTAACATATTAGGGCACTTCAAAATGTTTGTGAAAAATGAAATTGAAACATATGCTCACTTTTGTAAAAAAAAAAATTGAAATCCATATATTTGAGTAGTCTTCAAAAAAGTCCATGAAAAATGAGTGTTAGAAATCCATGCATGGATTTCAAACTTATTTTGTACCCAAATAAATGCATGTTTGAATTCTATTTTTCGATATACTTTTTGAAGTGCTCTCATATTTTTTAAAGATTTGTTTGTTTGTTTGTTTCAAAGGCAGAGATACACAGAGAGAAGGAGAGCGAGAGAGACAGACAAAGAGATCTTCCATCCACTGGTTCATTCTCCAAATGGCTTCAATGGCCAGGACTGGGCCAGGCCGAAGCCAGGAGCCAGGAGCTTCTTCTGGGCCTCCAACATGGGTGCAGGGCCCCAAGCACTTCAGCCATTTCCCACTGCTTTCCCAGGTCCATAAGCAGAAAGCTGGATCAGAACTGGAGCAGCCGAGACTCAATCCGGCGCCCATATGGGATGCCAGCACTGCAGGCGGAGGCTTAACCTTCTACACCACAGCACTGGCCCCAGTTCTCCCCCCATTTTATGATCTCTATTCTGGAGATGCAAAGTTCTCTTCCTGGAAATCACCTGGGACCATCATTTTACCCTAAGAATACTTCAGCTAGTGACTCAATGAGATGTGCAGATTGTGTGGATCCAAATTTGCATTTTCTTCCTAAAGGGCCTTCCCCTATTCCTCTCCCTATTACTCATCTACACTGTAGGGCAAAACACAGCTCTCTGCCCTCTGATTTCATTGCTCCGGCTTCCCATCACTAAAAGCACACCACTGTACGAGGGCTCCCACCCCTCAGTGATTGTATCCTATCTCCCCCAAGGCTCCCTGTGTTGGTACTGGTTTGGCAATTTAGTTCTTGAAGGCCTATGATTCACGATATAACTCAATGGAGGTAGGAACAGCTTTGAATGGTCACAGAAGCGGGTATTACCGTGCCAAGACACGCTTTGTATTTTGCAGCATTTCTCTATCTAGTTGTAGGCAGTATTGGCAAGATGACTATCTCACACTTCTTTGAGCCAGGCTCTCAGCCATCTACACACACAGAGATCTTGGAAAGCAAAGTTCCACCAACAGTGAGGAGGTGGCGGTGAGAACTGTCTATCACAGCAATGGTAACGCAGCATTAGGTTAGATGAAGAACTTTGTGCTGGCTTTTAGAGAAACCGGATGAACAAAGCACCTACTCGATTCCTTCTCTGACCCGCTTGGATTCACTGTAGTAATCGTCCACCAATGTGTTATTGACCCTCCAGCATCGCAGATTTGTATTCTCCTTTGTGTCCGTTATATTGCAGTCCACAATAAGGGTGGAGCCTACAAAAATCAAAAATCATCAGCATTCAATGAAAATCCGATGGATTTTTGACTTTTCAAAGCTGCTTTGTAGCCTTGAATACACTTTGATTATTCAGAACTACCCCCTTGGTCAATGCTAATCTACTTTATTCTCTCTCCTAGAGACCATGAGGGATAGCAGGCCTTCCAGGGTATCTACTATAAACAGATATACATACGAGGCCAAGTATCACAGCTTCTGATGACCATTTTTGATAACGCTGGGGACACCAATTTGCCATTTCTGGTAACATTGGCAAAGAAATTTACAGTTTACAGAGCATTTCAGGCACAGTTTCTTCCTCGGTCTGCATATCTTCAGGACAACCCAACAAGGCAGAAGAAGGACAGTATTATTATCCCCGTGTTACCTCTGAGAAATTTAGACTCAGACAGATTGGGAGATCGCCCAGAATCACACGTGAGCTAGAGGAAGGAAAGAAACATGAATCTAGCGTTCTAATTCCAAATCCAAGATACTTGGACTTATTCAAAGGCGACTCTCCATCCTTTGCCCCTTCTTCCCCTAATCCTCCCTCCACATACATCTCCAATATTTAACAAATTTGCATTTTCACTTCGCTTCACCCACAGGCTTAATAAATCCTACTTCAAGTTTCAAGAAGTATTCTTTAATCTAGGTGGTGTTTTTTTAATACATTGTGAAATATAACACCCATACAGTAAAAAAAAAAATACAAGAAGTGTAAAGTTAATGAGTTCTTTATTTTTTTATTGTTTTTTGTTTGTTTGTTTGTTTTTGACAGGCAGAGTGGACAGTGAGAGAGAGAGAGACAGAGAGAAAGGTCTTCCTTTGCCGTTGGTTCACCCTCCAATGGCCGCCATGGCCGGCACACTGCGGCCAGTGCACCGTGCTGATCCGATGGCAGGAGCCAGGTACTTATCCTGGTCTCCCATGGGGTGCAAGGCCCAAGGACTTGGGCCATCCTCCACTGCACTCCTGGGCCACAGCAGAGAGCTGGCCTGGAAGAGGGGCAACCAGGACAGAATCCAGCGCCCCGAGCGGGACTAGAACCCGGGGTGCCGGCGCCACAAGGTGAAGGATTAGGCTAGTGAGCTGCAGCGCCAGCCCAATGAGTTCTTATAAAGCAATTTCCATACCACCTTCATACCCTCAGGAAAATCATATGTTGTCAGAACCCCAGAAGGCCCTCACATACCCCTCTCCCTACCTTATATTTCATCACCTGTATATCTGTATATTCATCCCTGGACTCAAGTTTCATTACTCAGCATCTTGTTCATGACACTCATTCATGCTGTTGCATGTAGCTACAGTTCATTCAGACAATGGAATACACTACTTATTAACTTCTTCTACTTGTTGCTATATACTCAGTTGCATTGTCTCCAGTATGTCCCACTATGCCTAAGGCTCCAATGAACTCTTACATACATGTTGACTGTGGCACACATGAACTTGGGTACATAGGGGCATCTGTGCCTCTATTCCAGTGATATCAGAGGATCCTAGATTATGCATATAATTTTCAAAACACAGTGCCCATCTGCTTTCTAAAGGGGTTGTATCCATTCACTGTCCCACCAGCATCAAATGAGCAATCTTCTTACTTTACATATTCTACAATGCTTGATGTTATCTATTTTATTTTAGCCATTGAGTATGTTAAGGTATCACAATGTGAATTTTGTCTGTATTACCCTAGATTGCACATGAGCAAGCACTATTTTGTATTTTCATTGGCTGTTGGATAGCCACCATTGTGAACTCTTTCTTCTAGGTTGGCTTTTCTTTATAAATGTGACAAAGTTTCCTACTAGAGTCTGGAATACCTTCAATCAGTTACTGTGAATATCTTCTACTCGGTGGTATATCTTCATTCTTTTAATGCTGCCTCTTAATAAATAGAGACACTTTTAATGTAGTCTTATTCATTTCTTCCATCATGACTAGTGTTCATGTATGTGTTGATTAAAAAAAAAAAAACTTGCTTAACCCCAAATCACGAATGTGTCTCTCTAGAAATGTATTGCTGCTGCTTTCTTAATTCAGCATGAAAATGATTAACTGGAGTATTTAGTTCATTGAAGGATGAATGATGTACATGGGTTACGTCAGGTATTTTACATATTTTTCTGTGTGCCACCTCTGCCCTATATTTGTCTTTTCCTTCTCGCATTTTTTATCTTCAGGGGGATTCTTTCTTATGACTGCTAAAAAAGAGCATTCCAAGTGGGAGGAACAGCAAAGACTCTGAGGCAGATGCATTTTAGGATGTGCAAGGCATGGCCAGCAGACCAGTATAATGAAAGCACAAAGTACGAAAGGGAGTGAGGGATAAATGATGTCAGACAGCTCCCACAGTCCTGGCTGTGCAATAGCAGCTCACAGCGTGGTGAGGACTTAACACCTTTTACATTGTTCTTGCCAATAAACAATAGACATATAGTTAATACTTACCAGTTTCATAATTACCATTTCAATGCATCTTTATTTTATTGCATGCGAGTTTTTTCATATTTTGTTGAGTTTTTTCTTTGTAAAATATTAACAAAATACTTCAAAAAGTTCATGGAAATGGAATTAAAGGCTAATGTGCATTTTCTATGAATTTTTTAACTAACTTCTTTTTTATCTCATTTGGATTATGCATTTTACCTGATTTTTTGATATTTTTAGGGTCTATAAATAATATTATATATGAAATAATGTTAGCAATTTTCAGTCATTTCTATTCCAAACATTGGCTCCTGGTTTATCCTTTACATTTTAACTTTACTATTTTTTTATATACAGATTTTCATTCTAAGTTTTTCAAGTTTTCCTGTGTAATTTCTTCCACTGATTTTATCCTTTAAAAATCAGACATTTTGAGGTTTTTGTTTGTTTGTTTGTTTTGTTTTTGAGAGACAAACAGAAAGACAAACAGAAAGAGTTCTCATGTACAAGTTCACTCTCCCAGATGTTCACAACGGCAGAGGTTGAAGCTGGGAGCCAGGAACTCAATGCTGGTCTCCTACATGGGTGTCAGGAATGCACCTGAGTCATCACCACCATTTCCCAGGGTCTGCTTTAGCAGGAAGCTGGAGGCAGGAGCCAGCACCGGGCATCTAACCCAAGTACTTTCATGTGGGAGGGCAGCATCTTCAAGGGCTGGCCTTGCTGACATTCTGGTATCTAACAGTTCCAGAATTCTTACGACTGAAAAAACTTAATTTAGAGGATAGTATATCCATTTTAACTTAGTAATTGCATTAAATAAATGTGTCAATGTATGTGGGGGGAAGCCCTAAGAGCGCTAATTACTGCTACATAACATATGGAGTCCTTCCTGAAAATGACTGTTCAGTGCTTTGCAGACAGCTGTTGCTTTGACTACCAGGGGCAGGGCAGACATTTGCTCCTGCACTGTCACCTATAGTAACTGTGCCCCACATGAAAACAAGCTGTATGCAGCCCAGAGAATAATTACCAGTGCCAGAGAAAGCATGTTAAAGTCAAGAAGATAAGAGATTACTTTAGGCATTTAAAAACATTATTAGTTTTGAAAGTTTCTTCCATAACAGAGTAATTTTACTGAACAATTTTAGTGACTATGATGTTTTAATTTCCTTAAAATGTCTAAGTAGAGCCACAGGTCATATAAAAATAACTGGATAGGACCCTGAGCTGTAGTGCAACAAATTAAGCCACCACCTCCAATACCAGCATCTCATACAGTGCCGGTTTGAGTCCAGGCTGTTCCACTTCCAATCCAGCTCCCTGCTAATGTGCCTGGAGTTCCAGGCCCTTGGTTTCAGCCTGGCCCAGCTCCAGCCATTGCAATCATTTGAGGAGTGAACCGGTGGATGGAAAATCTGTCTCTCTCCATCTCTCTGTGACTCTGCCTTTCAAATAAACAATCTTAAAAAACTAATAATAATCATATACTTATCTTCCTCCTTAAGGATTCTTGCCTTTTAATTGTCTAAATGGATCAGGTAGGACTTCCAAAGACAAAGCCAATGAAGAGATACAGTAGGCACACCTGTCTTTCCAGGTGTTAGGAAATTCTACACAATGGGTGCTATGTAGAATCCTCTGTTTGGGGAACCACAATTTTCTTGAAGGTTTGAAAGAATTCTCCTTAAAACAAGGGAGGCCTAGAGCCTTGAAATAGATTCAGCTCATTCCCAGTTGTTTTGTAAGCTTTGACGTTTCCAAGTCTTTTATATTTGGGATCCTCTGCCCTGGGCTGTTAGAATCAGAGGGAGTTCATCTACCTTCTCCCCACCCCTCAGCTCTCCTACCCAGCACCAATTCTGGAACTTCTCATGCTATTTAGGTTTCTTTTCTTTTAATAAAATCATTCTTTTCTACAGCTAATCTTTGTTGTTTTGTTGCTCTGTTTTTACAGAGTGACATATTCTATGGGTTTATTTATGTCTAAGATTATTAATAATCTTGGTGAGATTTAAAGATATAAATTTATCTGTAGCACACAGCATTGATTACATGTCATAAAATTAGATATGAAGTATTCTCACTGTCATTATCTTCTAAATATTCTATAAGTATGGCTTTGATTTCATCTCTATCCAATAAAGTAAATAATTAGAAGGTGGGTTTGTTGTTTGTTTTCTTTTTAAATGTTTGGTTTTTTATTTTTAGCTTACAGAGCTTAATTGTATACATTTATGGGGTACAAAGTGCTGTTTTCATGTCTGTCTATACTTTGGAATGATTGAATCAAGATAATTAACAAACCCATTACCTCACTTATATACAAGTGATTTTTTTTCATTGTTATAAATTTCTAGATTTACAATATTGCTACTGTACCATCTGGTCTATATAATTCCCTCTTTGGAACTCTATATCTTTCATAGTTGTTTATGAGAGCAATCTATGATTGTATTATTCAAATCCTTTAGATTCTTATTTGTATGGTAAATCTATCAAAAGCCAAACTGAAATAATTGTATTGTCTTATTGTATTGTCCTTGTATTTTTGGGACTTTTAGCTTAACATATTTTAATACACTGCTGTTTGGCACATAAAATTTTCTATTGTGAGAATTTTTTATAATTTTTATTCATATAAAGGGATCCAACATGTCATTTAGTTCTTTCTGGCCTTGAAAGATATATTATCATACTGAAAGTTTAATGTTGCCAACCTGATTCTTTGCATTAAATTTTGGTAGTGATGTCTTGATTATACATTTAGTTTTAATCTTCTTGGTCATGCATTTTTAGATATATATCTTTTGAAGAAATTTAATTGTATTTTTTAGGATTTATTTTATTTATTTGAAAGAAAGAGTTCCAGAGAGAGGCAGAGCCAGAGAGAGAGATCTTCCATTCTGCTTGTTCACTCCCCAAATGACCACAATTGCCAGAGCTGTGCTGATAGGAATTCAGGAGCCAGGAGCCTCATCCAGGTCTCCCACGTGGGTGCAGGGGCCCAAAGACTTGAGCCATCTTCCACTGCTTTCCCAGGCCACAGCAGAGAGCTGGATCAGAAGCAGAGCAGCCAGGACTTGAACCGGTGCCCATATGGTATGCCTACATCTCAGATAGCTATGCCACAACACTGGCCTCTGTATTATTATCTCACACTGGAAAGCATATTCAAGGAGTAGGAAAATTATCATGTTATATTCCTTAATCTATATAGAAAAGATTAGTAAATATTACATCAGTTTGCCATCTAAGTAGAAGAAAAGGACTCAATTTTTTTTTAAAACGTAAAGGTAATCAAGGTAACCACATCCTCTGAAGGAAAAAAATAAAGCAAATTAAACAAAGTTTGTATTAAAAGACAATGCTCAGAATGACTAAAAATGTTAAAATGCAGTTATGGGCCTGCACTGTGCACAGATGGTTGGAGACCTGGCTGCTCCACCTCTGATCCAGCATCCTGGTAATGTGCCTGGGAAAGCAGCAGAAGATGGTGCGAGTGCTTGGCCCCTTTACCCACATGGGAGACGTGAAGAAGCTCCTGGATCTGGCTTCAGCCTGGTTGAGCCCCAGCCATTGCAGCTATTTCAAGAGTAAACCAACAGATGGAAGACCTCTCTCTCTCTCTCTCTTTTCTCTCTCTCCTCTCTCTATAACTCTGCCTTTCAAGTAAATAAAAAATAAATCTTAAAAAAAGACAATAATATTAGTAGTAGTAGTTTGTACTATACATTATCTTTTTCAGGAATTATTTTATATCTTCCTTGCTTTTGCATGAGAATATTTACGATGATCCTTTAGACCCACAGTGAACAATGTCTAAACTCTAAACCCACAATTTCCCCCAAGCTGCAGCTTGCTTGGTTTCTGTTTTGATGCCTCTCCTGGTGAGCCAGAAACTAGATGTGTATAGGATTTATGTTTAATCTTGAAATTCCAAATATTCACAGGAGTATATGTACTTAATGAGTTCTGCCCGTGGGGATTTCAATGGCTGCAATGACTTTACTCACCAAGTTGTACTTCAATTGAATTGTTTTTTGGATAAATGATTTTAGGAATTCTTCCTCCATTTCCAACTCTTTCTGCTAAGAAATCACACCCACAAGAAATTGCGTTAGAATCACATGCGACACATTCCCAAGCACTTCAGTGGAATCATGAAGAGAGCACAGCACAGCAGGCCCTCAATAACATTGGTTAAGAAAAAAACAAAAGCCAGAGTCCTTCCACCAATGCATATTTTTCAACCAGAATTAATTGAACTGCTTAGAAAAGAAACGGAACTGAGCTACCAAGAATGCTTGCTTGAACGATTATATATTTAGTATAAATATAAAGTCATGAGGTGGCATAGTAAAATCTCATTAACTAATAATCCAAATACACTTTTCTAGCCATGACTATGAGCAAAGTTCTCACCTAGGTCCTACCTATAGAGAATAAGGACACCACCCATGTAGGAAACCTAGATGGAGTTCAGGGATCCTGGCTTCAGCCTGGCCCAGCTTTGGCTGCTGCAGCAATTTGGGGAGTGAGCCAGAAGATGGAAGATCTCTATCCCTATCCCTCTCACACACAAGTGCACATGCATCTGCTCTCCCTGTCTCTCCCTGTCACTCTACCTTTTGAGAAAATAAATCATTTTTTAAAATTCCCTCTGCTACCCATATAAAACCAAAGTGTTACAATACTTCATCTTTCAGTGAATAACTAGATAGTTGCCTAATCTAGGTTGGACACTGGGGCTTAGTGCTGTTGGGATTCAACAGCAAACAAGATGAGGAATCAGGAAACCATCATAAGATCTAGTGCAATTATTATTCCTAATTAATGAGCCCTTAGCTAAAAAGGTTGAAACCAAAGATTACCCCCCATTTCAATCAAGTATGTAATTGCAGCAAATATACCAGAGGACAAAACAAGAAAGACTGAAACAGGGAAGGATAAGGCTGGAATGCAGGAACTCTCTGGACGGACCCTCTAGAATAAAGGACCCATCCTGGATTGGCCTGGAGCCTCTGCAGGCAGCTGCACAGACCCCTCCAGGGATCCACTCCTTCAAGAATGAGGTAGGCACCCCAGGACTCTGAACTCCGACAAACATCTGGGCAGACATGGAGATTCACACTGAAGAAATGGCTGCCGCCTTTCAATTCTTTCTGTCTAGATAAGTAAATAGAAATCAACCCTTTCTAGAGACCAGGGTTGTGGCACAGCAGATTAATCCACTGCTGTCTGCCCCGCTGATGTGGCCATTTCAAGTCCCAGCTGCTCTGACTTTAATCCAGCTCCCTGCTAATGTGCCTAGAAAAGTATTGGATGATAACTCAAGTAGTTGGGCCCCTACCACCCATGTGTGGATGGAGTTTTGGCAAGTGAGTCAGTGTATGGAAGATTCTTTCTCTCTCTCTCCCTCAACTTTGATAAGCTCCTCCCTCTGAGCCTCTGAAAATCAATAACTTGAGCTAAATTATTCTTGAGTTTTTCTCTGTTCCTAAGGTTCTGCTTTCAAGCATCCAGGGTGTATGCTCAGGAGGACTGAAACCCCATAAGCAGTTGTTTATCCTGGATCCAGATCCAGAAACCTTAAGCTCTGCAGATCCTGAGGTATGAAGGTCAGTACTGGAAAGGGCCACCAGAATACAGCAGTGAGGGCTGAGAGAATTAAGAGTTGTCTTCAGACAGGTGTTTAGCCAAGTGGTTAAGCCACCTGCGGGGACACCCACACCCCATATCAAGGTATCTGAGTTCAAGTCCTAGCTTCACTCTCAATTGCAGCTACCTGCTAATGCTCATCCCAGTAGGCAGCAGGTGATGGCTCAAGCAGTTGGGTCCCTGCCACCCATGTGGGAGACACAGCTCAAGGTCCTGGTTTATGACTTCAGCCCCCGCCTAGCCTGAACCAATACGGATATTTAGGAAGTGAAGCAGTGGATGGGTACTCTCTGTCTCTCAAGTAAATAAATATAGAAATAGAAATTTAAAGAGAATAATGGTAACATCTACTAACTACTGAACACTTGGGCTCTGTCAGCCACCCCATGAGCTACCCTATGTACAGGATCTCATTTAATTTTCACTACTCAAAACCAAGAGTTTTGAGCATCCTTTGTTTGCAGATGGGAAGCTAAACTGCACACACCCTTTTGCCTCACTCTTTTTTATCAAGTGACAGGGTTGGGGGCCTGCTAACCTCCAGAAAAATCAGGATCCAATCTCTGTGCCCAAAGCCTGCAGCCAGCCAGCTCGCACAAAGGCAAGAGGAAGTCAGGTGACAGACATGAGCATACTTACTGACGTTCACAGTGATGCTGTTTAACACTGTGTACTCTTTCCCCAGGTGTGTCAGTCTGGCCACGCAGGCATAGTTCCCCCTGTCCCCTGCCGACACATTGCTCACAGAAAGCTTGAGTCCCAAAGAAATAAACCGCTCGCTTTCAATCTCTTTACAGTCCTAAAGACAAGGGGAAAAATGCAATCCAGTGAGTACTTGAGGGTGCTACTGACACTCCCAGTGAGGACCATCCTGAGAAATTTAAGGAGATAAAAATCTAGGTGATCCCTGGGCCCCATCTAATTTATAGTCTGTTATTAACTATTATTGAATAGCTAATTGATAGATAGATATAAATAGATACAGATATAACATAGATAATCAGATGGAGGTAGATAGGTGATGGATGGATAGGTAGATAGATCAATAGATAGATAGATAGCTCTGTATCTATAAATACACACATATACACAGACTGGGCAAGGAATTCTTGCTGAATCTACATCTATCTCTGGAAGACTTGACAAAGAATATTTTACAGGCTAAAATGAGAAGTATATAAAGTCTGATAATAGTTAATAAGAGAGAATCCTGTGTAGGCTGGAATGAAGACCTCATGGAAGAGGACTGGGACTCAGTGGAAAGCATAGGGCAGGAGGGCATGAACAGATAGAAGCATCCTCCACCCACAGGGTCCATCCCTCTCTACAGATTTCTAGCTACTGGGGCCAAGCCGCTCTGCTAGGATGGCAGGGCCAGGTGAATAACAACTGCTTTCATCGGGTTGTAACTTCCCCACTTATCAAGCGTTTTTCTATGTAGAAATCGAAAGTAACTCTTCACCAACATATTCCTTAGAGGCCTGAACAGTAGTCAAAGACTACTGCAGGGCAGGTGTCAGATAATTTCTCATGGCACGTAGGCCTCCACTGCATCAACCAGGAGACTACCTCACCCTCAACTAACTTGGAGACTGGTTTGTCTCAGGAATGTCTTTCTTTCATCATCCTCAACAACTACCCAGAGGACAAAGCTCATTCACCTCTCCTGTCAGAATCTCGCGTTCTCTCGCATTCTCGGACTCTCATGAATCCCCACTCCTGCATCCCTGGGGTCCACTTCTGAACTCTGTCTCAGATCTATCCCCTTTCCTTCAGGAAAGTCCACCCCACAGAGTGACTGCTTTGCTAACTGGGTCCATTTATTCCTCCACACCTTTGAGTTTCTACTCTTGCCCTGTGAGAGGGCCTGGGCATGCAGGAGTAAGATGCAGTCTCTCAGAACAGGTAGCTCACAGTCGAACCGAGAAAGCAAGCACACGAACACCAGAATGAATTTAGATGTGACTGCAATTGGGTTCAGTTCTCTCCTTAAAGGCAGCCATAGCTCATTCTCCATCACCTGGAATGATGTGAATGGATCCATCATACATGGTGAAATTCAATAATAATATCTGGGCCAGCATTTGTTTGCTTACAATGTGAAGCACAACTTCCTAAAAGTCTCAAATTATTTCTCTATCAACTATATGAAAAATCAAATTATAATCAGATAATTGCTTGCCAAATGGATGGGAGTTACAAATAAAAAGCAAATGGATGAAGTCCTCAGACCCTGAGAATGTCATGTTGCCTTCTTTTGGGTATAGACAAAGGCAAATTTTGAGTTCATGGACTTTGGAAACCTTTTCCTTGGGTGGGGTTCACGGGATAGTGCCTGTGTAGACACGGACTCTGGATTTCTTTTCTATGCTTCCATTGTTGAGCAGTCCTCTTTCTGGCTGACTCATTCTTTCAAGCTATGCATAGTTAAGATGTTCACATTCCACATCAGAGTACCTGAATTTGATTCCTAGTTCTGGCTACTGACTACAGGAGTCCGCTATTGAAAACCCTGGTTGGGGCTGGTACTGTGGCACAACTGGTTAAAGCTCTGGCCTGAAGCACCGGCATCCCATATGGGTGCCATTTCGAGTCCCAGCTGCTCCTCTTCCAACCCAGCTCTCTGCTATGGCCTGGGAAAGCAGTGGAAGATGGGCCCCTGCACCCACGTGGGAGACCTGGAAGAAGCTCCTGGCTCCTGGCTTTGGATCAGCGCAGCTCCGGCCATTACAGCCAATTGGGGAGTGAACCAGCAGATGGAAGACTCTCTCTCTCTCTCTCTCTCTCTCTCTCTCTCTGCCTCTCCTCTCTCTGTAACTCTTTAAAAAAAAAAAAAAAAACAACCCTGGTCAAGTAATTGGATTCCTGTCACCCACACCAGAGACCTGGGTGGAATCTCCAGCTCCTGGTCTGTTGCAGATGTTTGGGGAGTGAACCAACAGTTAGAAGTGTTCTCTTTTTCTCTCTCTCCCCTCCACTACATAAATGACAAATATGCATACATTCAGTCTTGATAACATTCTGTCCTCTTACAATGCCTTAGATTGTGCCTACTCTGAGCCACCAGAGCATCATTTCAGAGAAAAATGTCTCAGCAAGCCTGAATTTAAATGTTAAAATTTGGGAGCAGGGTTTCTAACAAGATTTTTATTTTTAAAGATTTATTTGTTTATTTGAGAGGCAGAGTTACAGAGAGAGGGACAGAAAGAGAAAGAGGTCCTCCATCCAGTGGTTCACTCCCCAAATGGCCATAACGGCAGAGGTGGGACGTTCTGAAGCCAGGAGCCAGGAGCTTCCTCTAGCTCTCCCACATGGGCACAGGGGCCCAAGCATTTGGGCCAACTTCCACTCCTTTCCCAGGCCATTGGCAGGGAGCTGGATCAGAAGTGAAGCAACCAGGACTCGAACAAGCACCCATGTGGGATGCCAGCACCACAGGCAGTGTTTAACCCACTATGCCACTTTTCAAGGGTGTTTGACACAGTGGCTAAAATGCTAGTTAGGATGCCTGCGTCCCATATTGAAGTGCTTGAATTCAAGTTCCAGCTCCACTTTGATTCCAGTTTCCTGTTCATGTGCTCCCTGAGAGGCATCAGGAACTGGCTCAACCAGTCAGGTCCCTGCCACCTAAGAGGGAGACCCAAATGGAGTTCTGGGTTCTTCTTGGCTTTTGCCTGGTCCAGCCTTGACTGCTTCAAGCATTTGGAGCATGAATCAGCAGATGGAAAATCAATCTCTTTCTCCCTCTCTCTCTACATTTCAAATAAATAAAAATAAAATCTAAAAAAGTAAAAGGTGAATACTACTACTACTAATAATAATAGATAATATTTCAATTTTTTTATGTTCAGCCACCAAGAAGTACACTCCTAGTCCAATATGTACCATCTTTCATAGGCACAAAAGAGCCTGGAACATTCTGGGTAAGGTGCAGTGGGCATGAAAGAGTGATGGGAAAAAAACTAGTGAAGAAGTCAGAAGCTCAATCAAAGAAAATCACAAAAAGAAGATGAACATCTGATCTTTGCAACCAAGGGAGTAAGAGGATTAAGTACACTTTTGTGAATGATCATTCTGCTTGATGCATAGGAAGAATTAAAATGAGACAATCCTAAAGATCAGGAAACAATTTAGAATACTATTTCCATACACTAAGGCTTAATGAAGCCTGAATAAAGACAAGACAATGGAGATAGCAAGAAGGGAACAGAAATCAGTGACTTTAAGCATCACCAACCATAGACCTTAGTGCCAAATTAGAAATGTGAAGAGGGAGCAGATTTCATATTCTCCCAACTTGGGCATGCAAAGGTAGTGTCAGATAAGAGAGAGGTTGCAAAGAAAATGCAGAAAAATTATCACATAACATGTGGTTCTAACTACGGTGTCCGTGGTGAGTTGTGCGGATGAGAGTTTGTGGAAATGCATTTTATCTTTTTATTCCATTGTCCCACAAACTTTCTGAAGGACCTGGCATCATAGGCTGAGGTTGGATGAAAGGCCACAGTGGAAGAGTTGGGAGCCACCTGGATATGGATGGCTCCATAAACCATCCATATGAATGTGAGCAAAGTGAGACTAGAAGACAATGGTTGAGGGGCTGGTGCTGTGGTGCACGGGTACAGCTGCCACCTGCCAGGCTGGCATCCCATATGGGTGTCCCCTTCTGATCCAACTTCCTGCCAATGCACCTGGAAAAGTAGTGGAAGATGGCCCAAGAGCCTGGGTCCCCACACCTAAGTGGGAGACCAGGAAGAAGCCCCGGGCTTCTGGTTTCAGTCTGGCACAGCTCTGGCCATTGTAACCCTTTGGAGAATGAATCAGTGGATGGAAAACTCTCTCTCTCTCTCTCTCTCTCTCTCTCTGTCACTTTGTAACTCTACTTTTCAAATAAATAAAATAGATCTTTTTTAAAAACAAGACCACGGTTGAAATCATGGGGAACCCCAAATGCAAAGTCCCAATATACAAGATGAGAATCTAATCATAAAGATTAGGGAAGGGCTGCCAGAGTGGGTTGAGGAGGTGGGGGTGGGGATAAAGTGATCAGAGGCAAAGAATGAATACGTCTCTGAAGGAAGCAAGCAGGGGGTTCCTGGCTGGTGAAAGCACTGTGGTGTCACAGGCCATCAGGAGACCGTGACTGGGGTTGAGAGTGAACCTTAGCTTGGCTTCAGAAGACCTGACATAACTTCAGCCAGCACGGATTCAGCACCATGATGGGGGCAGAAAACCACAGGATTGAGGAATAACTTGGGATTGAAAAAAAAAACAAATTGGAGACTTGCTGCTGTTTCAAATGCAGATGTTTCAATACCTGTGAGAATGCAGTACCCAAACCCTCTCTGTTACCCCTTCAATTTCAAGGACCACCTTGACTCCTCTAAGTTTTCAATTCTCCCAGACGTAGCCTTGGTATTGTCATTACCCAGAGCTACTCAAACCCAAAGTTCTTAAAAGCAAATACACTTTCTGATCATAATTTCCTATTGTTCTAGCTCTTTCATTCTTTGATTTTAGCTTACTAATATTATCTAGTATTTATTTTTAATCAATTAATTTTTTACTTATTTAAAATGCAGAGAAACAGAGAGATTTCTATCCACTGGTTCATGTCCCAAATACCGAAAAAAAGCTGGGGCTGGGTCAAGGTGAAGTGAGGTCTGGGCTTCCTACATGGTTAGCAGGGACCCAAGTGTGTGACTCTTCACCTGCTGCTCCCAGGATGCACATTAGCAGGAAGCTGGATTTGGAAGTGGAGCTGGAACTCCAACCCAGACTTTTTAATATTGAATTCAG